ACAATCATCACGAACCCACACAGTGGGCACGCATCAAAAAGTGTTGGACCCAAGGCATTAACTTGGCATCCTTAGTCTGGAATCCAAAACATCTGTGATATTGGACCTCCAATCAAACCCCTTCAGTTCAAATGCTCATCCAAATTTTGCAGCAAACAAAAATACTGAAGTATTGTTCAATTGCACGACGGGACAATTGCATGGGGCCTCTGGCTGGAAAACACAACAACAAATAATTTACTGCAGAACTCCTGAAAAAGGGGAGAATGATGACATTTGCAAGCTGCACCCATTAAACTCCCACTATGTACCACAAAGCTTACCTACATAGGATAGGAGTACCGAGATTCTGGTAGTAATTCTAAGTATTATGTCGGAATGTTCACTTTCCTACAATGTGTTCATTGAAAGAACACCCCTTTTCACTAAATATCCATAATGTGGATTCACTCTTGGTTCCTCACCCTCTTACTTCGGTTGTATTTTATTTAACCCCTTAAGGACCAAACTTCTGGAATAAAAGGGAATCATGACATGTCACACATGTCATGTGCCCTTAAGGGGTTAAAAAACAAATGTTTTAATCCTTGCATGTTAACTGTTAAGATTATACAATGACTGAGTTTATCCACTTGCAGCATCTTGCGGATCAATGGCTAACACTCTAAGCTCGGCAATTTACTAACTTATGTTCAATTCAAATTATTTTGAGACTGGAGCTTAAATCTATATAGGACAATACCAAAACACCCATCTACTGAATAAATCAAACATAGGCTGTGTCTCCATCACATGATACTACACACAGGACAAGTTTGTAGATCTGCACTCATAGGGAATCCCCAAAAATACATCAGGAAGAAAATCATAGAACAAAATGCACATTCATTGACGTCAAAAATGAAAAGATACTAGAACAGCAGCTCTCATGTATGCTGTATTGGTCCAAGCATGTGAAAATGAGGGAGGGGGGGTGAAGGTTGTGTGTGAATATAGTATAAAAGTCCAAAACCTGAGTATAGGACCACCTGCAACTTCTGTACAGGGGGGAGACCATGGGATCTGTGGTAATTTGTAGATCCGCACTCATAGGGAATCCCCAAAAATATATCAAGAGGAAACCATAGAACAAAATGCACATTTATTGACGTCAAAAAAGAAAATACATATGGCAAGATACTAGAACAGCAGCTCTCATGTGTGCTTTATTGGTCCAAGCATGTGAAAATGGGGGGGGGGGGGTTGCGAGTGAACATAATATAAAAAGTCCAAAACTTGAGCATAGGACCACCCACAGCTTCTGTACAGGAGATCACCAAATTAGCCGACTCTTAAGAAAGATTAGAGAAGCCCAGGACGCGTTTCGCACCACTCCTGGTGCTTTCTCAACATGGGCATTCTATGGGATTCTTGAGATCTATAAAGGAAGAGGATGTTCAAAAGGGCTGGTCTATTGATTGAAACCCCCTTACACCCTTTCGATGCCAGAATAATCAGAATGCTGTATTTACAATTTCCATAAATTTAGCTTGGACAAACAATATAAGTCCTAACCAGCCAGACAGGAATGACAAGATATAAAGAAAAAATACTTATATCTGCCTTATTCCCTGATGAATTCCAAAATGTTTCATTCCAATTTTGTCTCACTTCTTGACCCTCCATGAAAAGTTGCCACCCCAAGTAAGGTTTCAGTAATAATCCGGCTATAGCTTGTGGAATAAGGGAATACATTTAAAATATCCCATTCATATAGGGATTTACTTAAAAGGTATGTCTAGAAAATTGTAAGGGACTGGATCCTAAACCCAATGGCCTTAAAAAATACAACATTAAGGAACTACATATAAACCTTCAGTAACACGTTTTTACATGCGCTCGAAATAAATGGATTTGCAAAAGAAAATTATTCTTCATTATCATTTGTTATACATAATCGCTACCAAAAAAAAAAAAGATATTTCGGTTACAAAAAATAAAAAATAAAATAAAATTTTTTACAACCTGTGCAATTGTATCTACAGGCTGCCTTCATCTATTGTTGCAGCAGATTCTGCAAAGATCCCAAATATAACAAAACATTTAAAAAAAATTCTATAATAAGATCCAACAAATACAGCGAGCTGATCCGGTTATCTTCTCGGAATAAGGAAGATGGGAAAAAATAATACACCTAAAATTCTTTTTTAATCTAAAAAGAAATAAAAGTTTTGAGATTAAACTCCTCCTTACAAAAGGGAAAAAGACAAACCACATAAGTGAATGTGATGAAATTAAAAATACAGTATCAATAAAATAATATGAGCACAAAACAAGAAGCATAATTTACACTGAAATGTGCATTCCTGTTATGCAGTTGTTACCCGTAAACAATCAGTTTTGGTTGTTACCCCCATCAGAATAACTATATGAAAAAATGAAAAATAAGAACATTCTTCTAGAAAACACATAAACTACATCAATGCAATGAAACCAAGAAAGAAAAGAAACCCCCAATGCCATAACTGCACAAGCAAATCTCCTCGGAGACAGAAATATCTCGAGGGTTGCACCAATCCTATGGAACTCCCTTTCCTGCTCTGTCAGACTTTCCCTTAGTCTCCGGTCCTTCAAAAGAACATTAAGAACTCCCTTCTTTAGAAAAGCATATCAATTAAATTGTTAATAACTTTCCCTCCCCGCATCTTAGCAACCTATCCTCTCCTGTAACGGTGTCCTCCCCAAAACTACAGATCATAGCAAACTATTCTAATAACCTAATTTTTCCCACACATGAAATATACAGTGTGTGTATGTGTGTATGTCTATTAGACATTTTTTGTGTGTTTGTACATGTATCTATGTATTAAGCAGTGTGTGTGTCTGTTGGTGTGTATGTATTACATGTATGTAATTATCATATTTCAGTGTATGTATTGGGCAGTTGGTGAGTATCAGGGATGTGGAATTTATATCTGACACGCCTGACACCCGAGCCATGCTGTTCCAAGCATCAGACAGGAATTTTTTATTCTTTTAGGGCTTCCATGGGGGAGGGGGTTGGTGTATCTCTGTGCAGGAAGTCCATCTCAGACATGCATATCAGGATGCTGTAAATGGACCTGCCTGCAGCTCACAGGGAAGACTGAGGAGAGTCAACATCCAACCACCCCTCACAATGTTGTGGACAAAAGGACCTTAGGATCCCAGGTGATATCATACCCGGCCAACACGCTGTAAAGGGCAGAGTTAGCATGGGACAGGCTGCTGCTGGTTATCTGTGCAGTGTGTGTGTCAGGTAATGTGTAAATTGTGTGTGTCTATGGGTCAGTGTGTGTCAGTGTGCAGTGTGTTTGTGTATGGGTCAGTGTTTGTAGGCAGGGTGTTTGTGTGTGGGTAAGAGTTAGTATGCAGTGTGTTTGTGTATGGGTCAGTGTTTGTGTGCAGGGTGTTTGTGTATGGGTAAGAGTTAGTATGCAGTGTGTTTATAGGTCAGTGTGCAGTGTTTCTGTATATGTCAGTGTTAGTGAGTGTCAGTGTGCAGTGTGGTTCTGTATAGGTCAGTGTGTTGGAGTATGGGTCCATTTTAGTCGCTTAGACAAGTAGATAAAAAAAAATCCATACCCCTGTATGCATCCATAAAGCAGTTTGTGTTTGTGTGTGGGTGTGGCAGTATGTGAACATGAGGGTGTGTTTGTGTGTGGACAAGGCAGTTTCTGTGAGTGTGTGTATTAGACAGTCTGTGTGCATGTATGTACAAGGCAGTGTGTGTGTGAGAGAGAGAGAGAGAGAGAGAGAGAGAATGTATATATATATATAAAAGTTTGTTTGTGAGTATGTGTATGTATAAGCCTGTTTGCCAAGAGAGAAGAACTCTCCACACACAAAGTATTTCAGTTTGCTTAAGTGCTTTATATGTCTGGAGTCTGTCATTTTCTTGACAGTTATTAAAAGTGCTGATTTCAATAGAAATTAGAAGTTTTATAGTTGGGGTCAAAAACACCTCCCTATCGGTCACAAAGCTGGGAAGGATTTCTTCCACTTCTAGAGATGCAGATGTGCTGTACTAGCGTGCACCTGCCTTACCCCTTTCCCATTAACTGCACTGGAACTCAATGGGAAACATAGGAAAGCTGTGATTCAGTGTGCATGCACACAATTACAGCTCCGGCACAGAGGCTTTTCAATGCAATGCCTCCGATTGGAAGACTCGCAGAACAAAAAATATATTTTCTTTGAGTGTATATCTATTAAAATGTTAAAACAAATCAGTGGAATGTTTCCTTTTGGAGTTTAGTGAATAAACTTGTGACACAATGGATACATTGGAATTATCTCATGAGGGGCATCTAAATGGACCTCTCACCAGCCCTGCTTCAATTTTTATAAAAGTTTGAATAACATACTCTTGTTTGAATGTGAATATGTGAATATACGGTACAGTAAAATTTGTACCTTTGGTTCAGAATAATATTTCAAATGTTTTTGTTAAGATCCACATAAAAAGCTTTATCGAGCAAGTGTTTCTAGGTTGTTTTTTTATTTTATTTTTTGCAGCTTAATCTTTTATTTTCTATTATATTTCTGGTGGGATTTTTTTTTTATTCAAGCATTTATAAGCTTTTCAGTAGGTGCTTTTTAATGCGGTCTGAAAACGTCACATTAACACATTGCATTTTAAAGCTGACATAAGGTTTTCTATTATCTTTATAAAGAGGGCGTCTGAACAGACACTATTATAACATTGTTTGACAACCTCTTCAAAATCCACAGCACAAAATGTGTGGCACACAAAACAAAAACTGCTACAGAAAAGAAACCCAAACCTTTTGTGTAAGATTGAGGTTCTCTTCTGGGATGGAAAGTCTCTTTGTATAAAGTGTTAGAGACACATAATAAATTGTCCCAGCTAACTTATCTACATAAGTAAAATAGCCAGAACAGAAGTATCCAACAAAGACCAAAGACAAATATTTCTAAAGAGCCGACAGAACATGCACTAGGTGTGTCATTTAGAGAAGTGGTCCCCAATCCAGTCCTCATAGACCACCAACAGTCAAGGATTTATGTATTTCCCTATTTTATTCAAATGGAGAAACTGAAAATGGATAAAACCTGGACTGCTGGTGGTCCATGAGGACTGGGTTGGTGACCACTGATTTAGAGGATGGATAAGTGGTTCCAAAACCAGTCCTCAGGGTATCACTACCAGTCCAGGATTTAGGGTTTATAAATATGTTTTTAAGGTAGTTTTTGTTCTTTCTTCTAAAACACTTTAGACACAAGTAGGTAATCCCTAAATCCCGGACTAGTAGCGGTGCCTTGCGGACTAGTTTAAGAATCACTGGGATAGAACAGAATTTATTGTTGCACAAGTCTGGGGAGGATAGTTCATCTAGGAAACCTCTTGGAGGCATAAGCAGTGGTTTATAGACATATTTTAACAGATTCTTATGAAAAGGGCTTAGTCTAAAGTTCATTGGCAAAACACTTTGAAAAATCACATTGGGTTTAATGACATCACATTAACAAAATGGTCCGAGAATTTATTGATGGGGACATTATCGTTTGCTTTAGTAAAGAGATAAACACAACCAGTAGGAAAAATAAATGGTTTAATTTTCCAATTCATCACAATCTCAGAGACAATTTGGACACCCGAATAGCTTTTAATGTGTAGCTTGCGCTGAGTCAATGTTTATGATCAATGACAAGTTCTGTTCCTTTAGAAGCGGGAATTTAAGAAGGGGAAAAAAAATTATTTTCACTGGAAAGAAGTGTTTCCATTAATTATCTTGTGTCCTTGAAGGCAGGTTTTAACATTGGAAACAACAGCGTTTCAGAAAGTCAAAAGGCAATTACAAATCCTCTGACTGCGGCACATAATCAATAAAACGTAGCATATTATATACACGTTGAAATAAGAAATACAATGAGAATTAATGTAAGGGCCAAGGACGCTCATTACATCTAGGGTTAGTCTTTCTCAAGCTGCAGAGTTAAGTGGGGGTCATATAAAGAGCCCCACGTGGTTTATTATAGAGTATTTAGCCATCTTAAATTCGTTATTCAGTTATAGTATATTTAATTTTTTTTTTTACTTTTTTTTTTTAAATAGACTCCGATACGGACTGAAATATACAAAGTGTTTTTAAACCGCTGAGTTCTACTATATTCTCAGATGTGGAAGTAAATGCTAAATACAGCAAAACCACAATATAATAACACACCTGCCCATCAACGGTGTTACACCACAGGACTCGAGCAGAATTAGTGAACCTTCTGCTACCAGGTTCTGGCTGACTGATTCTGGGTACATCACCTCCACCAGGAAAAACAGTCCAACTGGCAAAAGAACTAAGGCAGCCGCCACAATCCTTTGTACTTGTGTAGTTAATAACTGGTGGCACGTTGTCATCAAATAGGGAGAAGTATGACACCATACCCTCCCTATGAACAGAAAGGCATTTCTATAAGGAAGTTGGGCTTCAGGTTGGTCTGTTGTCCTGAAACACCAATTCCTGACTTGATAAGGGACAACCAGTGCCTGCCTTTGCTACCTGTCTGATTTTGGACTGCCGAGACCATGACCATGAACTGACCTGTTACTAAGTGTGTATCACATTTTATTCCATTCTCCTGAGTTTGTTACTGTTTCTGTTGAAATGATAGCTGGGAGTGGGAGCCATTACTACGTTCATTGGCTCCTCTAATGTGTATTATACTTCATGTAAAGGTGTGTCACCAAGTAAATTTCAAGAACATTTAATATGGACTTAATATCACTACTGCCGCGTCACTTAGATCACCAATTGGATGCTTACACATTTATACCATGGTATCTGTACCTTCAACACATGTGGGAGATTTAGACAGTAATTAAAAGGTTTCTATTAAAACATGGCTGTTGAATGCTTCAATCTGATTGGTTGACAAACGTTCTAAGGTGTGCATTATTTTGGTTGACAAACGTTCTAAGGTGTGCTTTATTTTCAGGGAGACGCACGGCTAAAGTAGTTCCAGACAGGTCTTGACTGCATTACAGTTGTGTAAGAAATTAGTCCTACATACGAGAGCGTTTTAATGACAAAAACTTGACAAACGTCTTGAAATACATCATCTGAACAATGTTTCGAGGTGTGGTAACTGTAGTATAAGTGAAATAACTGACTCAAGGCCTTTGAATTATTAGAAAAAAATAATGCACACCCGAGGTGTAACGGCCACTCCGCTTCGCGTTGTGACCGCATTACCAACTTGGGTGTGCATTATTTTTCTAATAATTCAACGGCCTGTCGTCAATTATTCCTTACACACTACTACTAAAATGGTTTAATTGTATTGGGCCGTAGTAGTTATGATGCCTGGAGTGGTCCTTTAATGCCAACATTTATAAAGTGAAAGATTTGTTGTGATTAATTGTGGGAATTTGGTAGGGGGAATACATCAACATATATAACAACCAGCAACTGTAACATTTCTGGAGGTTATAGGCTACAATTTGTGCCTAATATAAGAGTACTAGAAGATGTTAACCCACATAAAGTCCCGGGAATGGTATTCAACAAGACTGTTTCTTTGAATTAAAACTGCAACTTCTTGCACCATAAATAAATATGGATATCATAAAAATAGTAATAAACAAACATTTTTCAAGCCCCCACAGACTCAGTACTAATTACTTCAAATTTAGAGTGACGGCCTAATTAGCAGTGCTAGTCTTAGCAATTAAAATAGAACTGGTATCCTATTAAGACCCCTATGTTTCCACTGCTCCCCCAACAGCAATTACGAGTGCAATGATTAAAAGGAAGCACATAGTAATTTGCTCTCTAAGGATACAATAGCGAGATAAACAATTTGCTGTATATATCCCCAGAAATTTGATATTTGCAGCAAATTAATGTTTCAACAGAATGGATGATTACAAGTATCAGCTTTCACAGTTTACATTTTATCTGTGTTAATCTTGGCACAATAGAAATATTAATTTATAAGGCACAATTTGCTTATCAAATAAAAAAGGAACAAACAAAATGGTATATTTCAGAATATTCATACATTTAATACACACATTTAAATTATGGGAACTCAAATTATACATGCAACATTTTAATGAGTTTTAAAGTGTATCATAACCTTTGTGACAAGAGTTAGCCAAACCCCAGAATATCATGATAGCCATGTTAAATGAGATCTGGCTAACCATACATGATGCATGCTTGGAAGAAAGCTTGAATGCAAATCCAGTGAAATGGTTTATAGAAAGTCATATTCCCGGTAAATGGAACTTGGTAACAAGACTTTGCTTTAACGGTGGAATGTGCTAGATCCCAACAAATATGGAAATATCATAGGTGGTTTCTGGACTCACCTGTAGTTAAAATAAGTATATACACTTCCACATTACCTATATTAATTCAGTAAATATTTGGATGGCATTTTTTGACTGAATCTATCAGCTGACATTCTCAACCAATGATTACAGTCAACTTTTGGATAAAATTTATATTGCAAATAGCATTTCTTGCACTAAGGCTTTTGCTAAGGGTTCCCCAGAAATCTACAGTGACGGGAAGTGACTGACAAGGGATGTCCTTCAATATGTACAATTAAACTTCAGCAGGCAGGAAATGAATTCACCAAAGTGGAGCATATGAATGTTTTATACAGTGCAGCACGGCTACCCAACAGTATGGAGAAGGAATATGTGTCCATGAAAACATGGTGGAACTGACAACTGCAGTGGGGGCCAGTTAATAGCTTAAAAGTGCCCAAAGCAAAGATCACTCCTAAAGGGTAACCTGTGCCGTTGGCACCATCCAAAAGGGTGGGCCCAAAATGAATGACAGGCCGACTGGCAATCACATTGGCCAGCCACATTAAACTGCTTGCATGGAATGGGAGGAAAAAGGCTCAAGTTACCAACGGTCCAGGCTAAAGAATATATTGGTTAGCAAAAGATCTCCGAAGTGTTATTGGAGAACTTGGGATGACGTAAAGTGAGGAAAGACAGGATTGTGCACATAAGTTACAATCAGAGGGCATAAGTGAATTACAGTAGTATAATTATGCAAAATGATCCAAGAACACACTGCAATGCCCACAAATAATCTAAAGAACTTTACATACAGGCACCAAGAGCATTAGACTACCTTAGTTAGTATAGGGAACGTGTGCTTATGTCCTTGAGTGTATGCACTACAAAGCTGGGAAGGAAGACATGCAAATTGATATTGCAGCCATTTCAGGTCACAAAACAGATTGATGACGCAGAATTGAACAGAGGTACTGAGAGATACTCGGAATATTGATATTTGGACATGATACATTGTATAAAAGGGTCACACATACACCACACCAGAGAGCACTGAACATAATGTAATTAAAATAGTTTTTCACAATTTAGTAATACAATTAAAAAAGGTTATTATACAATATTTCTCCTTGACTTTTTGAAAAGTCTTATTTTGAATGGTTAAAAAATAATGTTTTATGGGGGGCGGAATTTGAATCTTGAGCTAGCCAGATGTGCTTTGTACAAGCTCCTGCCATGCTGAGTTCTAAGATATATCTTGGGCTACCGAGCTGGAAACGTCAAGCTGAGGTGCTGCCTACCTGGGGGCACTCTACTGAATATATCCAGACCACTCTCAAGACCCCCAGCGGCAGGTTGCGGCCTACTAATGCTTAAGTGAGGGAAGTGTGGCCAATTTCCTCACTCCACTCAACCTTGTGCAGCACGGAAAATCTCCTAACCCCCCCCCCGGACCGGTGGGGGATATCCCAGTCCGCACTGGACTGACCTGCCTGAGTGCTCTGACTCCAAACGCTTATCGCCTGATCAGTGGCAGCCACAATCCCCACGAGGAAATCTTCCATAATGCAGTGCCACAGTATGCAGGGAAGATCCCACACAACTTTGTGGAGGAGTCTCTTCAATGACTGGATGAGCTGTTTGGTAGATTTTGGGCCACGCTGGATAGCCATGCGGCAGCCACACAGCAGCAGTTTAAGGAGGGAGTTCGGGGGGGGGGGGCAAAGGCCCAAAAGTGAAGGGACCCCCTTCAGGCTTAGACTCTACCTGACAATCTACCCAGCTTATGGTCAGCCTGGCTAGTCCGAGGGCCCCCGGGGTATTAACCCCAAAGCATCA